TAATAAATAAAAAAAAATAATAATAATATAACGCGTCCGTATTTTTAAGGAAAGCAAGGGAAAGTTAAATATGATTATTGTTTTCCTTTGAACTTTAATTCATTAAAATTAAAAAAAAATGTTGTTTCCCTATCTGAACTATCTAACGTCAAAAATTACATTTTCGTAGGTCAAAACGAAAATCTTAAGAGTTACATTTTTATGATTTGGTTAGAAAATAATAACAAAAAAAATAATTTACCTTAACTGAAACAGCTTCTGCTTCTTGCACTATAGCGTCAGATACAGTTGAGCATAGATCACAATATATTTCTTCCAATTCCTGAAACAGAGGAAAAAATGTCACTTATGGCATTTTTAATAAAAAACGTACTGAAACAATTAAGAATAAAAACATAATTGCGTATTAGATTCGAGCCAGAAATGAATGGTTGCGTTACGTGCTTATAAGTAATGAACATTTCATTTCACTGTTAGTGTAGTTAACATTTCCTAAGACTGCGACCCCTACGTTGCTCATTAACTGAAGTAGTTTCGAATTACGATCTTACTTTGATAATAACAGGAAAAGCAGAATGATACTTATCTATAAAAATGTGTATTAGTCATTAATCTACTACATAAATGGTTTTTTTCTTTTGAAATTAATTTTTTGTTTGAACAGAAGTTCATTAACAAAAAACAAATTCAATTATTTTTCTAATCGAATCGCCAAACGTTATATAAGCAGCCAGAGTTTGATAGCAGGAAGGATCTACAGAAAGGCTTTTTCAAACCTGGCCTCGGGAACTGGCGTGAAGATAACTTAAAGTATCGTAAGTATCACAAATTCAATAAGGATTTTTAGTAGATATAGAAGCACGTTAATATACTATACATATATCTATTACAGTGTTATGTGTTAACAAGTTATTTACAAGACGCAATCAGCTTTTTAATATGTAATGAGAAACCTGAAAACGATATTTTGATATGTTTTGATCGTTTGAGTTCTATATCTATTTGTATACTTGGGGTAGCTACTACATTACCTGTTTAATTAAATTCTGAGATTGTCAATATTTGAATTGTAAGCGAGGTTGAAAATCATTTTGGAGAAACGTGATTTTCCCCGGGTATTGTTATCAATATCACGTGGGAGGCGCGGGATGATCCACGTGTTACTAACTCTTTTTACATTGCATCATATGGGTAAATTCTGTGAATTTACTGGGTTAAAGGTAAATAGGTATATATATTATCCTTGTTAGACACATTTTCGTTTATTACGTTTAGACTATCGCGAAAACAAAAAATAATTCGGATGAGCGTGCTAGAAAATCAAACAGAGTTCTGTAAAACAGAACTAAATTAAGCTCTCTATTCACAAAAAAAAACATTTGAAAAGCTGCTCTAATAGCTAAGGCGTCATCTCCGGTAGCTAAAACGTGCGAGAATATTTAACTGTTGTAATTTGACTGCGCCAGAAAACAGTAAATTCCTCATGTCTTCCTTTGTAAGACTGTATTTAGATTAAGCGAATAAAGTTAATAGAAACATAGAACATAAACAAAATTAAATAATTCGAAGTGGTCTGTATTCTGTCGAAACTGCCAGACGCGCATCGCGATTTCGATCTTTTTGGATCTCATCAGCGCGGCGCAGGCAGCCCGACAGAACACAGACCAACTTGTTGGAGCATACGTAATCCTAAAATGTAGCATCGTGCTACAGATGGCGCTTACTGCGCCATTTGTAGTATTTTCATAAACAAAATGATCGGTATAATTGGAACTTTTTCAACATATGCAGTAAAAAATTATTTTTTCCTAAGATATATGTGAAAAGCAATTAAAAATATATTATTTGAAAGCCACAATCTTAACAATATAAAATCAACATGTAAAATGTTGCAAAAGAAGGATTATTTTAGGGTTAGGTTAGGTTATGATGGCTCTTTTTTCCATATTAGATTTTTCATTTCCACCCTTAAGCCTTGTCTTCACCGCCGAACATTTTTTAGTCTCTAATTCCCACTAATTCACCCCTTGAACCCCTTTACACTGTAGTCCCCTTCATATAGACACTGGATTATAGATTATGGGGGCCTATTGTCTAATAATGGGGGGTGGGAACGGTGTAAAGGAGTATTCGATTCTAAAAATAAAATCAAATTTACTTGAAAAGATACAATTGATATCGAAGACGACAAAATAAAATATTGATAAGAATTTATCAAAGGACCCTTGACAGTTATATGAACAGTTTTGTGGCAGGCGTTTGTGGTTGAAGAAAATAAATGAGAATGGATAATAGAACATTTCATTTTTCATATCGCCGCGCCGTCAAGACGTTGAGTTTTTATCGCGCCCCTCCCAATGAACTCTGAGAACGCTATTTAAGTTTTACATAAAGGGAAAGTAGTTACGACGAAACCACAAAGGCACAGGATAAAGAAATTAAGAAAGCCATTAAATGGGCTGAACTGTTTGTTACAACTGAAAAACATTGTTCTTTAATTGCGTCTTGTTTTGTGTTCATTGCTTGAATGAATTGTATTTGAAGAAATTATGTACCTGCATGTAAAAAAGTAAGTGGAAGTAGGTAGGCAATTAAAATGCTTCGGATATTGTTTTTGGGAATAAATTTTATGGCTTTAAAACTGAAGTTTACTGCTTTACCATCATTTGTAGAAATTTGAGAATAAACTAATTAATGCGAATGTGAATTTGTTTGTCTGAAACGTATTCACACCTTAACTACACAGCTGATCATTATGCAATTTTGTACATACCTTGTTAGAGGTACAGAAAAGGACATAGAGTACCTTTTATCTAGAAAACTAATACTGTTTTCGAAGGATAGAAAAATCAGTTTTATGTGGTTATCGGTTATCTGCTTATAAATTAGTAACGTAAAAAATAATGAGGCATAATTTATACCACTAATAAGAAAATTAATGTTAAATGGACTTTTCAATCACCCTTTACTAAAATTTACATACCTTTAATAGTTGAGGTAATGTGTCCTTGGTGTACTCGTCTAACATCCCATTGGTTGCATGCAATTGCTGGACGTACGCGTTATGGGTGTTAAAATATGAACTTAAACTATCTGTAGTAGGATTTGTTAAATATGCTAAGTAGGCATTCTTGTAGTCCTGACGACACTGAAACAAAAGAGAAAAAATATTTATTTTCATTTTTTTAATTGTTTAGCTTAATTTTAGTAGTCCCCCCCACCAATTTAACATGAAATATGTCTTTTAACTGGAGCAGTACATTTCCGTTTACGTAGAAATATTGTAGCTGAATAGTAAGTGAATACATTGTCTTCAAAGGACTCTATCATAAAGGCAAGACGTTTCTATTTTATGCCTCCTTATTATTACTCACATTAATTAGACTGCACGTCTCATTTATTGCTCGTAAGGCATCAGTCTCAAAGAGAAACGTGCACACAGGGTCAGTTTGTTAACTGTTGATTAATTTATGACCGAAGATATGAAGCCAATGGCATAGTTAATTGACTTCTACGTTATAGAGAATCAAAGTATCCATATATACCTATGTACATACAAAATTAATTAGGTCAAAGGTCACAGGTCAATAAATTAAAAATTATTTAGAAGAACGAAGAAAGTATCTGGAAATGTTGGAATAAAAATGCAAAAAAAATCTACTGTCATTTACTCGAACAATTCGGGGATCAGATCCTGCGTCGACATTAAATAAAACTTCTATGACAGATTTAGAAAAAGCTTTCGACAATGTTAAATGGGTCAAGATGTTAAATATATTTAAAAATGTATGGATGAGTTACAGAGATAGAAGAGTGATACTTAGTTTGTATAAAGAGTAACAGGCATTTATAGAGCTGGGGATGCAACGTAGAGAAGTAAATATTAGGAAGGAAGTCAGACAGGGATGCACACTGTCACCGCTACTTTTTAATCTATACATCGAAGACGCGATCAACATCATTAAAGACAGTACAACTGTAGGGATAGATATACTGGGGCAAAAGATTAGTATACTTAGATTTGCAGATGATATAGCAGTATTAGCATCTAGCAAGGAGGAGTTAGAGATAGCTTTAAATAGAATGATCGACAGATCAGTATTGTATGAATATAATAAAAAAGCAAAGCAAAAATATTTGTATGCAAGGGAAGAAAAAGTAGGAAAAGAGCGAATATAAAGATAGGAGACGAAAAAATAGCAGATGTGGCTGATTTTAGGTATCTAGAAAGTCAGATAAGTCAGGATGGAAGGAGTAGCAGGGATATGAAAAAGAGAATATCGCAGGGTCGAGTCGCCTTCAATAAAAAGAAGTCACTTCTATGCTCGCAAACGGTTAATTAGAAATTCGAAAAAGGTTGTTAAAAGTTATGTTTGGAGCGCGACGCTGTACCTACGAGTGCGAAATATGGACAGTTGGCGCGGCGGAAAAGAAAAGGTTAGAAGCGTTCGAAATGTAGTGTTATGGGCGAATGATGAGGATACCATGGATAGAGAAGGTTAGAAATGGAAGTTAATATGAAATAGGCGAGATAGGTTGGTAGGACACCTTCTTAGGCATGAAGGTCTAATAAAAAACATATTAGAGCGAGAAACAGGCGGGGTAAAAGTAGACCTAGATTAGATTACCGCTCTCAAATAGATGTGGGTTGTTCTGGTTTTGGGGAAATGCGAAGATTAGCTCAGGATAGGAAAGAGTGGAGGTGCATGTCTAACCAACTGACGACTTTATGATGATGATACGACAGAAATTCCAAAAGTTAAAGAATATTGTGAAACTCGGAAGTTTTAAGAAAGAACTATCTAAGGAAATATTTTATTTTAAATTACTATTTTCTCTTTTTCATTATATTTTCAATTGTGACGTCTACTGCGAAAATTGTTGTCTATATAATATGCTTTATTCTATAAAGACATTTCGTTTCCATAACTCAATAAGACAAAATAAGATTCAGATTTTCCAGAAGTCATTAAGGTAAGAGAATCAACAACATAAAGCCTATTATAATTAGTTAAAAATTCTCGAATTGGATTTCAAAATGCTTTTATGTGAAATTTTGGGTTACAGCGTTTTGAGTAATGTTGCAAATATCGAAATGCTTGAAGTCCGAACTTATTAATGAAAAATTATATTTGTTAATGTTTTGAAAACGTATATTTCTCCTAATTGAATTTAATTGCTGCGAATGACTTGGTAGCATTTCAATGTTCTTGCTATTACTATCAAGGGTTAAAATGGGTTCATCATAAATATTTACGGATTCTAACCGTAATAAAGAGTGCTTGATTTTTCCCCTTTTAATCAAGAACCGGCTGGTAACGCCAATAAATTTTATTTTCGCGTAAATCTCGCACATAAAACCCCGTGTTCATAACGATATAGGTACGTAAAGCGTTCAGTTAATCCACGATGAACTGGAATAACACGTTAAAATTATTATCTCTGGTCCAAGAAGGGATAAAAGTTATTGTGGACATTTTCCACAAAGGAAATAATTTTTATGGCAGGTGATAACGTCGTTATTACTGGACAAGTCAATGCCATTAAATCGCAGTCAAAATGGAACAGATGGTTTATAAAAAGAACCAATCGAAAGTTTGTTGTATATCCTTTCCAAAAATTTTGACCGAAAAAATATTTTGTAATAACACTTTAGGCACAAGCGGCTTATATGCGTACAAAAACATCGTCACAAGGGCCTTTACAATTTAGATATATTTTGCTATCATCAGACTTATCACAAAAACAACATTATGTAAATAAACAATTATTGAGACAACAAAATATTTAAATATAAATTAAATGTTTATTTAAGTGTATTGAATTAAATAAGCTTTATTGAAACAAAAAGTTACTCTGGAGACTATACAAAAGAAAAAGAAGAATCTTCTGACAATTTAAGAAAAACATACATAACTGCTCTCCTTCCGCTTTACAAAATCCCAACCCCATTTTACCCTCTATTCATAATTTCCATTCCATCCCTATACAAAGCTCCAAAAAATAGGAAAATAGAAAAAAAAGATGAAAGCAATACTGTTATAGCCTCCTCTTTCTTAATATTTCCTTGAATAAGCTCAAACCACCCCCTTCCTTGTTCACTAACTCCACACATTCTTCCATCGTTCATCTTCCCTTACATTCCTCTAAAACGTGTCCTAGGTATTCTCTTATCACACAACCTACTACTCCTGTCACTTCTTTGAGCCAATATTTGCACTCTCTATACTCATTCCCTGTTCTCACTCTAGCCAAGACACTGATATTCCTCCCGCTTTCTAAATAACTTTGAGCCAAGCCCCCTGCCAGTCTCTTCATAAGAACTCCCTCAGTCCGATGTATACCTAGATTACCCTATTGTTATTAAATAATTTACCCTTGTTATTTCCTTACATCTCATTCTCGCCATTTTTCACATATTCTTACTTTGCCCTCTCCAGTCCATCAATTGTTCCTGGTTAATTTTTGACAACTCTAGTGTATTGTCTCTCTCTCTCTGTCGTATCTATTTTTCCTACCTATGTCCATAACCTTTTCCCCTTCTTCTAGATTTTCTAATTTCCCCTCGTATTTCACCACTCGTTTCAACGCTTCCTCCCAAATTTTCCCGCATTTGGTTTCCCTCCTTACCACATCCCGAGATAAAAAAGTTCCGTCTCTCAGAGTGTCTGAAAGCGAGATTCGAGTCTTCGTCTCTCATCGAGTCTCTCAGGTGTCGCTGAGAGAGACGCTCGAGTCGCTTACAGAGAGATTCTCATTTTGTATCCAGTCTCTGAACGAGAGACTCGAATCTTTGAACGAGAGACTGGAGTCTTTCAATAAGTGGTGTCTCTATAGACATGGTTAAAATTTTCTAAGTTCAACATATTTCAGAGATACCAGTCTTTCTACGAGAGATTCGAGTCTCTCAATTTTTCAGTTTTATTCATTCAGTCTCTCTGTGAGAGACTCGAATCTCTGAATTAACAATTTTATCGTTCGAGTCTCTCATACAGAGACCGTGAGAGATCCATTAAAACACCTAGGCAATAACTGAGAAACGGTGAAAGACTGTGAGAGACGCTCCCAGAGACGCTGAAAGACTCTGAGAGACTGAAAATTTTTGTCCAGGGATAGGCCGGTATTTTATATAAGACCTCTACCTGTTTTCTTTTCTTCCCATCCCCATACTTCCACCCCATAAAACACAATCCTCCTTACAACTACACTAAATAGCATTATCTTTCTCTCCCAATCCTCCCTACACAATTTGCGACTCAAGCTCCACACCCTTCCCATGATGGTGTTTCGCGTATACCCAAACTTTCCCCGGAATTTCATCCAAACCGGCCATCTTTTTTTTTTAATAATTTCTATTCTCTCCATGACCTCCTCCCTTCCCAACCCTTCCAACTCACTTTCCATCCCTAATTCCTCTGCCAAACCAAAATCTGTTTGTACTTTCTTGTCGTTTCCTTCCCCTATATTTCTAAAGTGCTTATATCACTCCCACATTTTGACCTTACCACACACCCCCACCCTTTTTTAAATCCCTATTAATTATTATCCAATACTCTTCTGTCCCCCTGCATCTATAATTTTATCAGCAAATTTCTCCTTACTTCCCTCTATTTGCTCTCTATATTGGGCTCGAATTCTTTTAAACTCTTCTTCCCCACATTCATCCCTTTCTCATCTATTCAACCCCTCCTTATGCTCTACTCCTTTCCTATAGCATCCCAGTATTGAACTAAATACGTATGATTTTAAAGCTTAGATATTATGAGATATATCCAACTCAGGGAAATGACGCTGTCACCCTCGTAACGGTGAGAGTCGGTAGATAACGTTTTAGATTGATCATACGCATCTAATACGTCAACATGTGGACTACGAAGTAAATCTCACAATGTTATGACATATATCAGGCATCGCGTCGTGAGCTCTGTCAAAAGTTACTCGAAATGAAGCTTTTCGAGTCATAAATTTTATAGCGAATTAAGTTTCCACCTCCAGAATTTCGCGGTTGTTACCTCAAATACTCTACGAAATACGAGTTTAAATAAAGGAAGTTGTACTGGCACGTGTTGTGAAAATTTCGAATTATCGTCTGATTTCCCGGATTTATGACAGAAGGGTGGATTTCGTGACAGATATTGCAGCCCTTAA